ATCATGCAACCCAGAGACAGACATTCATGCTACCTTGTGCCAGAAACAATTACATATTCTTTTTGGAATCTTGGGTGTCCTAGTAACACAGTCAAGCCTGGGGGTAAACTTTTGCATAATACTGGGAGTCCTGCATTTACTGATAATGAACAGGAGAACCAGCAGAATAAAATCCCACAAGAATGAAAGACCTCAGGGGAAGAAAGCCTTCTGATTGCCTTCAGAAGAAGGACTTATTTCAGCAAACCCAGCCCGCCCCTAGCTCTGGAAGAAGCACACCGCTCAACAAAAGCAAGGCATCACCAGCAAAGAGCTGTTTTCCTTTGACCAGATAAATAGCACAATACAGTCCCCCAGGACAAAAAATTTTTGCTTCTATGCTTTTGCGACTTGGTACGTTTCTTTCAAGATGTAGCCTTTCCATTTGAAAGTGATTATATCGTCCCAGTGTAGACGCCCCCTGCAAGTACTTGAGAACATCGTCAGTTCTTTCACAGTTTAGCCATTCTAGCGGGTGCACACTGTCACCTCATTGTGGCTTTAATTTCTATTTCTCTAATGATTAATGATGCTGAACACTTTTGCCATACTCTTTTGCAACTTGAATATCCATTTTTTTTTTCCAGATGTCTTTTCCTTGTCGATATGTAGGAGTTGTTTAGATATTCTGGTGCCAAATCAGATGCATGTATTACAGATATTTTCTCCCACTCAAGGGCTCCTCTTCACTTTCTTAAAGGCATCTTTTCAAAACAGAAATCCCTACTTTTAAGTCCTATTTATCAATCCTTTCCTTTATATAGCTAGTGCTTTTGTGTCCTACTTAAGCCCTTCTTGTTATCCTTAGGGCAATGAAGTTATCTCCCCTGACTTCTATAGTAATAAAAGTCAGAACAGTGTTTAGTCTTTTAAGGGAGGGTAATGACTGGGAAGCAGTACAAGGGAAGATTTCAGGGAGCTGATTATGCTCTATTTTTTGATCTTGGTGTGATTATACTTGCTTGTTTACTATTTAAATATTCATTGAACTGTATACTTATTACTTGTATGCCCTGCATGTGTGTTATACTGCCATTAAAGAAAGAAAAGAGAGAAAATGGACAAATAGGAGTGACTATTGAAGATATACAAGGTAATGACTACACATATGTATCTATATGGTGAGATATTAGAGAAAATATTTGTGGACATATTATATAACATCATAGGTTCTCAATCTATACAAGCCAAACTTTGACTAATGTATTTTAGCAAACAAAAAACATTTAGTAATACAGTTGAAGACCAGAAATACTGATGTTGATTAATAATATAATATTGAAATAAATGGTCCCTCCATATTAATGAAGCTTCACAGAAAGAGTTAAGCAAGCATAGAGCCTAAAGAGAAGCAGTAGGTTGGTTTTACAAATTCTTTGTTAAAATGCTCCTAGCAGATATATGGCAAGTCAACCTCTCAGGCCTCTGATGAGGGGCATGAGTAGCCTGGTCTGTATAAAATGGTGGCTACTGAGTCTCAGGTGGTGAAGAGTCTTTGAGACCACAGCAGAAATGTCAGAACAGTAGGACAGAAGGATCCAGGAGAGTTACCATCTAAGGCAGAAACCCAATCAAGATGTCCAGCAAGGATACAGTTAATACTGAACCATGTCGCAGAGCCTAAACCTGGAGATGAGTGAACCCAACAGGAAGTGCAGTCAAAGCAAGAATGCAGGTTACCTCGGGAATGTCCCTTCTAGCACCAAAAGCAGCCAAATATCTGCCACGGTCCTTAGTCTGAGTCACTCTGAAGTAAAAGCCAACCAGTAGTCTGTGTGTGGATAGCTGAGGTGGCAGGTGCCTCTGCAGGTCCCTCTGCCCTCAACCAAGCCGGAGGAGACACCTGACAGCTGGTTCTAACAGCCAGACACCAAGAGGCCCTGACCTTGGAGACATTCCCTGAGAGGAGCCCAGAGCGCAGGTGTGAACTCAGGCACTTTCCTCTCTAGCCTTTGTTGCCTGCCAACTAAATGACCCCCTGTCCTCTTCTTATCCTCCTTCCTTAACAAGCAGGAAATTTCTAAGGAGGAAATGAGAACTGTTGGACAAATAAGAAATCTTTTTTGAGATGGGAGCATAGTGAGGAAATAAATAGGTTTTGATGAAGGAAGTTAAGAAAACTAAGGCAATCAAAAAAAGCTGACTTTGCAAACATGAGTGAGAAAAGCAACCGTGGGAACTCCTGGGTGGCATGGTGGCAGGAGAGGGAGAAAAATCCATAATTAGGATAATCCATGGGCAGGTAACAGGGAATTCAAGCCTAAGAAATTCAAGCCCAAGGAGTTGGCATTTCTAATCAGCTCATGAAACATTGTGTTTTTAGAGTTCACCATTTCTAATATCCAAGAGTTATCTTTTACAGTCGCGGTGCTATAATTTATCACATCCAGGCATGCAAAATCATCCTTTTTCTAACATTAAACATGTTTAATCAGGACAATTTATAATAGCACTTTAGGGCTTTAATGAAAGAAAGGCATTTGACACATGATATTTACAGTAATCATAATACTACAAGACTTAAAGCATAATTTTTTACAGTGTTAGATCAGGAAGCCAAATTGTCCATGTTTTTAGTTAATTATTTGCAATGCTTTGGGGAGAAATCAGCATCCAGAAATTAATTAATAGTTTTCCTCTACACAATTGTCAGAGTTATCACAGGGTACTGCTCCTAGCTGCCAACTCCTTTATACCCTCACTCTAGCAGCAATCAGCAAAGGCGATTAATGTTAAACCACTTGTTCTGATAGCCAAATGCCAAATGTTATACCACATGCAGGATCATAATTATGCTCTAGGAAGTAGATGGATTTGGCTGTGTTAACCAAGAATTAACCCAAAATTCAGAGGCCACTTGAACTAGTGCTTGTGGAAAGTACCCCTTATACCTTGGCCTTGGAAAAACCAGGACATTTTTCAAGGCTAGCAGTTTCATGCAAAGCTAAGAGCCATGAAATTCTTCTTCAAAAAGATCCAAACCTTTCTTCATCAAGCTTTAAAGTTTGCCTTTGCCTTCTCCTTTGGGACCAGTCAAATTTACATACATTCCAGCTCCACTTGAGTGAGATTCAAGTTCCTATTTAAGTATTCGCTGTTAACCACAGGTCTCATGCTTCACGGCCCTTTTGACATGTGTTTATTTGAAAAGGTAAGTCAATGAACCGGTGCCTTCCTCATATTTGACAAGTTCTACCTGACTCAGGGAAACAGAGTGGGGCCCACCTTCCATAGGTGGTGATGTGGGGCACGGGGTAATGGGAGGAATGCTACTTGGATTACTGTCCATGACCCCTTCAAAAATCAAATGCAGTGTCAAGGCAGAGTGACAGCTGACACTTGTAAGAGTTCAGATTTCCATCAACTTCAAACTTAAACACTGAAATAAGTGGAATATTACAAAACCCACCAATTAAAAGCAGCACCCATTTTTCCATACGAGAGTTGTAGAAACCTTGGACTTACCCCAGGTACCCACCTCTAGCAAGTGCCCGGGACCTCCTAGAACATGTTGGTGTTCTAATGTCACCCTGGCTTCACTTGTTCCTCTCCTTGGCTCCCCTTGACCTGATCTATTTATCTAGTATCACGATTATAATCAATAATTACTATTAATTCTAACTTAGTTTTGTATATCTCCTAAGCTACTTAAATCTTCTTGGGAATAAGACAGAATATCATTATGTTTGAACCAGAGGAGGTACCCTAAATCCTTCACTCAAAACTTATTTCTCTTTCTACATGTCAGTTTAATAAATTCAGTCATCTGATTTCACGACACACAGCAACTCAGAAGACCACAGCTGACAAAAAAGAGTGATGGTCTCTTCTTGACGTAGCAGAGCATACGAAGCCTGCTTAATAGGTGTTGAATGCAACAATAAATGAATGAATGAGAAAATTGGTAGATGAGTGATACCTTACAGCTTAACAAGGAGAAGATAGAAACTCTTTAAAAACAAATAAAAGAAGCAAAAGCATAGCAGTTGGGGTCCACTTGGTATGAATGTGACCTACCCATGGATTTTAGAAGTCTTTGATGATTATAGAGCTATAGTTAATATTGATAAGTATGACTGTTTCTTCAAGAAAACAATCCAAGTATGCTTGGGAATCTTTATTTAAGAAGACAGAGGTATGTACCATACACTTAAGAAAACTTCATTTCAAAATAAGTTTTAAAACATAAAACTTAAGGGAGGGGTAATTTTCAGCAGTCTGGAAAATTCCCTTCTTTGCAATGCCTCATTCCCTGGTCATGCTTCATACCTGGAGTGCTGCTGAACTAACGTGAGTTCTCTGCAGGTGGGAATGACATCTCGGAAAAGGAGATAAGCGGAGAATGCAGATGGTTTAGAGATAGGTTCTGACTGACTCCATCGTGATGAGTGGAAATCAATTCTAATCAACCCCAGCACCATGGTGACGTCCCTAAACGAGTGCTCATTACCACTAGGAAAGGGGGTTAATGGCAAGCATCCAAACAACTCACTCCTTTTCTCCAAGCGATTGACAACTGAGACCCCTGGGCTGAATGACTTGCAGAGCAACCTGATGGCAGAGAGGGGCCAATGTGGGACCTGGGTTTCTGTAACCATTACAAAAAAGAGAAGATAGCTCCTGGTAGTATGCTCAGAATTTTTTGGACAAAGGATGCTCTGCAAATGGAAGACGGTATATAAGTGCTATTATTATTATTTGAGACTTGACTCCAGTTGTGATATAAATCACAGCTCTAGACTAAGGCAACCACACATACTTGATGTCCCCAGTGGCAACTCGGACCAGTCCACTTCCCACTTGGGCACAGGAAGGAGCCCCAGGCAGGGCCACGGTTTATTACCAGGATCCTGTTTCCCCCAGCCAGTTAAATAGAAGTGATCTCAACCAGCAGGCTGAAACCCACACTTAACTTTTCTTGATTACAGGGAGCAGATTGACTTATTCTTTTTTGTTTACAGAATTATGCAAAACTCATTCCTGGAGCTACAGTAGGGCTACTTCAGAAGGACTCTGGAAACATTCTCCAGCTGATCATCTCGGCTTATGAAGTATGATATTTTACAGTTGGCTTCTTGGTGGTTTTTTTTGCATTTCGGTGGTATTCAAAAACTAAGATGTGTTTTAGGCAGTTAAATGCACTAGGATTTGTTAGTGGAGAGAGTACTTATCCAAAGACAATCTCTCTGCACTAATGCAGCCAAAATATCAATTTTGTTCTCCTTATTTGCAGATATTCTTCCTGAAAGGTGAGGCCCAAGGTAGAAAAATCATAACCTGATCATAAAGTTGAAGTGATTTTTATAATAATAACCAATAGCAAAATTTTAATTCTATTGAACAGGCTCCATGAACCTTACAATTAAGCTCCCCTCTTCTCTGCCTGAAAAAAAATTAAGTTTAAAATACCAGTGAGTAACAGAAGGGGCGCCTGGGTGGCTCAGTCGGTTAAGCGGCTGCCTTCGGCTCAGGTCATGACCCCAGGGTCCTGGAATCGAGCCCCGCATAGGGCTCCCTGTTCTGCGGGAAGCCTCCTTCTCCCTCTCCCACTCCCCCTGCTTGTGTTCCCTCTCTCACTGTGTCTCTCTCTGTCAAATAAATAAATAAATCTTAAAAATAAATAAATAAATAAAATAAAATAAAATACCAGTGAGTAACAGAACTATGTGGAGAACTAACTCCACAGGCTTAATAAGATTACCTCATAACTCAAAGAGAAAAAAGACACCAAAGCATATCAGGAGTACCTCTTTGTAGATTCTCTGCTTTTGAGAACCAAGGAATTTTTCATTTTTATGGATATATACATATAGAGAGAGACATATATACATATATATATATATACACATAGACATAATTTTTTTTTGCCTTGAGTTTGTAAATTAGTACCAGAGGACAGCATTCCTCCCTTAAAATAAAATACACAGCTATAGGGTTGCTATGTTCTCTTGCTTTGCCCCCATTTCATAACTTAATCAATGGTAGATGGCCAGTTACCAATTCTTTTTTTATTTTGTTTCCTAAGTTCCATTTTCCTTTTTTGCCTTAACTTACAAAGAAAAAATACACACACGCACGCATATGCACACACACAAAGATGAAAATGAAGCTTAAGTTAGGACAGAAATGAAAAAAGTAAATTTTTATAAAGCAGTAAAGCCCTAATAGTTATTCTAAGCAGCAGTTACATAATGACAAATAAATAAAATTCTAATTTTGGATGTTTTAAAATTACAAATAAATGACTTACATGCACTATATGCCAATATCAAGCATATACTGAGCCAGTGGTCCTTAACTAAATGACATTTCAGAATCTTCTGGGAAGCTTTTAAAAATAGGTGTATCCAGATTCCTCTCAGACATCTTAGGAGAACTTTAAGGGAAGGAAGAGCCACACATTTTGAAAAAATACTCCCCAGTGATTTTGACAACACCCCACCAGTTTTGAAACTCATTTTAAGGGGGAAAAACAAGGTGTTTCTTCTCATATACATTTCCTCAGGGAATCAAATAACAGATGTGTCCATTAAAACTATAGGATGAGGGGTTTTTTGAACTTATATCCTCAGAAACTTCAGTTTTCTTAGCTCACATCAAAAATTAACTACCACATTAGCTCATGCTTGAAATTCTTCCAGACAGGAAAGCTTGTCAACAAAATACTATAAAAACCATCCTCCCTCTTATGCGGTAATTAAAGTTTTAATGTGTAGAATCAGATAAAATCACACAGCAATCCTCCACTGCATTAGAACACACTCAATTTTCTTTAACCCAGCGCTCTCAGAAGCATTGGCCACTAACATCTTCAAAGGAATTCAGCAAATTAGAAAACTGTAAACATCAAAAACATTTCTCCCTCTTGTTTGACCAGCCCCTTCCATGCTCCTGCTTACTGCATCAGGATTTCTGTCTCACTTTGCGGTCCCAAATCACCCACATAACTTACAGGGCGGTAGAATCAAGGCATCACACATTTGAAGTGAATCTCATGTCCTTATTTTACTGTCCAAAAATATAAAGAAGTCTCCATTATGCTTATACTATATAATCTTGCTCTGGAGTTATTATTATAATGTCATGATTCACTGAAGGAAGTGTGTAATAGATCTTGGCACTAGTTCAAATTATTTTTCTATTCAGTTATTTTTAAATGTATTCTAAAAGGACTTTAAAACTATGGGGATGCAGGGGCACCTGGGAGGCTCAATCAGTTAAGTGACCAACTCTTGATCTCAGCTCAAGTCATGATCTTGGGGTTGTGAGATCAAGTCCCATGTCTGGCCCCACGCCGGGTGAGGAAGCTGCTTGGGATTCTCTCTCTCTCTCCCGTTGCCCCACCCCTCTATAGAATAGAATAGGGGCACCTGGGTGGCTCAGCTGGTTAAGCGACTGCCTTCAGCTCAGGTCATGATCCTGGGCTCCTGG